AATGTTGGAATATTTAATTTGTCCAACTGGAACCGGGGTCTGTATTCGTAACTCATGCACAAATCGGGCCGAAAAGCCCGTTTCGGTTTTTAATTATGTGAAGTATACAGTCAAAAGATGCCAAGCAAAAAAACTTAACTTATAATCAAAACTTAGCGCGTCATATCGTGCGGAATTCCACCACCCAGAAAGGTTTGATTAATATTTATGAAATGTATAATATAAATCTTGTCACAGTTTATTTTAGCAATATGTACGATTCACTACATTTGGTCAGATATTGGACTGAGACAATTTTCAGATGTGAGCCTAAGTCTAGACATGGCGTTGATAATCTCACTTAAAGGCGATAATTGTCCTTTTTGCGGTCAAAATTTGATGGGCAGGCTAGAATCATTGATTGTCATAGAAGGTCACGATTAAATGTTTTTATTTCCCACCCGGAAACCATTATTGATTACTTAAGGTCAGTGAAAAATCGGAAATTTTACTGGCAAATTAGTGTAATTGAAAATAGGTGGATATTTTGTTTGAATTTCGTCATGGACTCATGGTATTAACAAGTTACAATAGACCCTTCCCCGAGCATCGACTTCCTGGTTTACTTCGTGACATTGGCCAATCAGCAAGATGCAAAAAGTGAAGTAACAATGCTCCCTTTTCGCATCCGCTCAGACCCTTTTTTCACTCAGACAGATTTCCAGGCGTGGTCGTAAACATTACCTCGTTTTCGCGTTAGTTTTCAGTTGTGTTTCGGAAATTTGAATATAAATCAGATAATTCAATGATCACTCTGTATTTTTAGGAGTTAGGAATGCAATGGTAAAGTATGGGAAGAATTTTTCGGGGATCAAAGGTCGGGGAAAGGTCCATACGCAAGACAACACACAGGGCGGAAATTCAGGAACGTTGATAAAACTTGATTTGAGAAACAAACGAGATTTAATATTACCTCCGAATAAGATGAGTTTTTTTATTTGAAATCCCCGGAGAAGACGCGGACTTTTTGTAGCTTTAGTGAGAAAACCTCATTCACAAATCAGCAAATTTGGCCATGAGTCGAACCAACACAGAGCATATCATTCAATTCCAACTACCTATGTGCGTTGTCCTTCAAATCAGCTGTTTTCGCGTAGTTCTCAAAAGTGATGATTTCGAAAAAGATAGGCATGGTGGACTGAGATGACTCAGAGCAGTTCCTGCCATCGATTATGAAGGACCTTTCAAGGGCTCCATCTATTTTAAATCATTGAGTTTTAAATGGCAGAATATACTAATGTTTTTAATATAAAAAAATGTCTTTCAAATTTCAAAGTTGGCGGCACCAAAATTGTGTTAATTTTTTGGTTTAACTACGACACCAAGCGGTGAAATTGCAATTTTACGCAAACAAGTTTGTTTAATGCAACGTGAATCTGATCTAGATTCTAGTCTAGATGATATTTATTTTGTTTCGTTATTACATTATAATACATGATGACAAAAACAATCAGCCCCGAGAAAACGCGTTATTGGCGAATTTCAGTCTTTGACCTGCATCGTAGGATAATTTTGCAAGCAAGAAGGTGCATGAACGAATGCGGACATTGGCCACATAGAAATAAGGATAGGATACGATTTACATATTTACCCCAGGGGAGAGGAAAGCCGATGAGACGGCTAAATCATATGGCGAACCACGGCCTCTCGTCCGGTTACCAGTCCAGGTAGGGTATGGGATTAGTTAGCCAGTTATTTGTTTTCAGAAGCATGGACTTGGTGGTGGAGGAAGCCGTAACCGACCAGCGGTTACGTGAACCAACCTACGGCGGCGACGAGTTCAGCAATCCTCTCGCACATGATCATCCCCGCATGGGATTCGAACCTGCGATTCCACGAAGGGTAATCAGAGATGCGGTGGCGAGCGCAGCAACATATTTTGCTGATCAACAGAATTAGTAAGCTGGTTCGGATCCCGTAGGGAAGATAATTATGTACCGGAGCATAAAATGGCGAATAAATCGTGTGGCAAGTGTGGAATGTCTTACGACTCAATAGATAGTATAAAGCAGGGCTACTAAACTGGCGGACCGCGGTCCGAATCCGGATCTTTCGAGTATTTGATTCGGATCGCACCTAATTCTTCATTTTGAATCATTAGCCTCACAGTTAAAGTTTCATTTTATAAAATAACTTTTATTGTTTTGAATATATATCAAAAAAACTATAACACCATAATATACAATTTCGATTAGCTGATATAATCATTAGCCGGTCGGGGAAGTGCGTGTTTAAGGATGCCGAAATATAATTTCTGGAAACACCGGACCCAAATAATTGTGAAGTTTTGAATGCGGATCTTCGGTAAAAATAATTGAGTAGCCCTGGTATAAAGTACGCAACACAACATACAACGCTCGAACACCTTGTTTAGTCACTCACTGAAAGAATGATCACCGTAGTACAAGATGCCACAAGGCTCCAATCATCAAGCCGTTAGCCAACCGACCTGCAAGTAGCCGATTTACAGACGCACATGAAAGCATCCACTCTTCTCCAGGCAATACGTAATATGACCCAATAATGAAATGACCGGCCTTGACTATAGCACAGCGATATGTGTGGCAGATTGCTCGACGCCCAGTCTCGGTAGAAATACTAACCGAAATTTAACCAAATACTAAGTCTAACAAATATAGCAATGATAATTTTTTTTATCTGCGATCAACTATATGTCGAAGATGAACGACTAAATGCCCCAGGACATAGTAATACACCCAAGGCAATTCATACTTCAATGCTTAGTACGTGATCGGTTAGAAACCATAGAAGCTAAACGTGTCGAGTTTTGAGAACAATTTCAGCAAGATAAATATTGTTTCTAAGACAGAAGGAAGTGTATTTGTGACAAGTCATAGCTTCCAGATTGATGTCAGCTTTAAGAAATTTATTTGCACGATCTGTCAGTTTTATCTGAATTGCTTACTCAAGCCATCCATATAACTACAATCAGTGCCCGGCCTATCGAAGTCTGGTCCAGCTGCTGTCGCATACGTTGCAGTGATCTAAGGCAGGGCTACTTAACTATTTTTACCGAAGGTCCGCATACAAAACTTCAAAAATATTTGGGTCCGGACTCTCCAGACATTACATTTTGGCATCCTCAAACACGCAATTCCTCGGCCGACTAAGGATTATTAGCTAATCAAGATTGTTTGTTATGGCGTTATAGTTCTTTTCATATATATTTTAAATCTATAAAAGTGATATTATAAAAGGAAACTCCAAAAGTTGGGCTAATGATCCAAAATAAAGAATTATGCGCGGTCCGAATCGAATACCCGAAATGTCCGGATTCGGACCGCGGTCCGCCAGTTGAGTAGCCCTGGTCTAAGGACGACCTTGCTCATATGCCTAGTCCCGTTGTTTGCAACCGGGATTCCGCAGCACCGTAAGGTTTCGGCAGTACACTCCGGTGCTATGTGGAGTTCCATTCAAATAATATAAGAGTTTATATCGATATGTATATAGTGTTTTGATATACCCAAATACTTATTAGGTTGGCCAGTATTATTAAACTTGCTACACTTTAAAGTAAATTTTGTTTCGCCAATATTGCGTTTGCTTTAATATATATTTATAGTTAATACAATTCAGACAAGTTTAGGGCGATTAAAATATTGCACAGGTTTCCTTGAGCCTACAAAATGTCTCATTGGGCTTCTGCATCAACAAGAAGGTTGAAAACTTCTAACTTGGTCTAAACATTCGACTCAACACTCATATCTATCTTAACCTAGAACATACCATGAATCCCACTTCATATGCTTACTCTAACCATTTGCCTAAAGATTTATAACTATCCTCACACAGAACATACTATGAATCCTACTTCCTATGCTTACTCTCACTAATTGCCCCAAGTTTTTGTATCTATCCTAACCCAGAACATACCATGAATCCCACTTCATATGCTCACTCTAACCATTTGCCCAAAGTTTTATATCTATCCTAACTCAGAACATACCATGAATACCACTTTATATTTTCCTTTTATATATCCTGAACATAGTTCATATGATTAGTTTAACCATTTGCTAAAATTTTATATATATTCTAACCAAGAACATGCTACGACTACTATTTCATAAGTTTTCGCTAACCATCTGCCTCAAGTATTGAATATATCCTAACCTGAAGTATACTACGAATACCAATCACTTCATATGCTCACTCAGTTTTATATAACCCAGAACATACCATGAATTCCATTTCATATGCTTATTCTGAACATTGGTCCTAAGTTTTAAATCTACCTTAACCCAGAACCGACTATGAATCCCACTTCATATGCTTAGTTTAACCATTTGCCTAAAGTTTTATATATATATTATCCTAGAACATACATAATTTTAAATCCTACTTTATATGCCTACGATGACCATTTGTCTCAAGTTTTAAATCTACTCTAACCCCGACTATGAATCTCATTGCATATGCATACTATGAACAAGTTTTATATCTATTCTAACCAAGATACTATGTACTATTATACTATATACTATGAATCCAACTTGATATGCTTTTCAACCTTTCCTAATCTAACCACTAGTCTAACGTTTTACACCCAGAAAATAGGCTACTATGAATCCTACTTCATGTGCTTACTTTAATCTTCTTTCCTAAAGTTTTATGGGGACTCCCGAAGTATGCGAACCAAGATGGCGGACATCAGAATGTAATATGTGTACTAGGTTAGGGTTAGGCCATAATTTTAGGTATAAATACTACGGGAGGCTCTTGGCTAGTCTTCGAACTGATAATAGGACTAAAATAAGGAAAATTGGAAAATAATTATCGCCTAACCCTAACCTGTTACCCATGTTACGTTCCGATGTCCGCACCGTTTTATGTATATTCTAACCCAGAACATACTATAAATCCTAGTTCATACGCTTACTCTCATCCAAGGTTTTATAAATACTATTACAGTTAAAATACAGTAATAGGATACGCTCATCTATAACTTCAAGGGTGTGGTGAATGAACGAGGTAATGGCATGTGTACCAGGCAATAACCTTGAAAATTCGAGTGTGTGTCCGCTACGAATTAAACTTCACATAACCAGCCAGTATATAGATCAATTCAATAGTTATGGATTATTCTAGTCTGGTCAGCATGGAACAATCAGTGAAACAAACGATGCGATTAGCAAAAGATACGATACAACAGAATCCTTCAAAGTTTGTCGTTGTCTCGGTTTTAAATCTTGTGATACTTGGATATTTTTTGTATATTTACACGACAAGTTTCACCGCCGCGGTACCGAAAATACAACACTTTAGCAGCAGGAAAATAACTTTAAATAGCATTGAAAAATCAAGAAAGAAATGGAATCATACTTATGGAAAATGGTTAAATTACTTACCAGATTTTCAAACCGCCGTGATAGCCATTGACAAGATTCCATATTTCCCTTCCGTGAACGAGACAACATCACCCAATAATTCTTTTATTACGATACAAAAGATGCCGTACTTCGTCGGTGACCTCTTAGAAGCCGTAATTACGTCAAAGAATTATTGGAATCAAACAAAACAGTACGGAGGTGATCTCTTTCAAGTTATTCTTTATCGCAAGCCAGCTGATGATATCCTAATTCCCTGCAAAATAACAGACAATCATAATGGACTTTATGACGTAACATGCCCACTTGTCAGTGAAGGTGACTTCGAACTGAAAGCAAAACTGAGGTTTTCTAGCGAACTTTTATATTTATTTATGTTAAATCATCAAACTAAAATGGGAGTTAATATATACGTGACCAGCGAATATATGAATTCAAGCTCCCCAGCCGAGCATTCAAGATGCGCGGTAGGATTTGATGAGCCTGTGTGAGTACTCTTTATTATATTTAAATCTGGACTACAAGATAGGATGAGAATTTTTCTCGGGCGAAGAAAACACAATTCAATCAGATGGTGAACTACGGCCTCTCGTCCATTGTTAGTTCATGCCAGGCATATGAATAAGAGTTTATAACAGTTTCATATGCATGGACTTGATGATGGAGGAGCCCAGAATCCGCTCGCACATAATTATCGACGTACGACGACAAGCTTATTACTACAAGTGCTCGGAACGATGTCAATCACAGACCACATATAGGCCAAACGGTAATCATCTTTATAATAACGGTTCAGCATCAGCCAACGGTAATCAGCCTCGGCCTAACTCGAAAATAGAGAAATGCCAAAAGCGGCACATGTCATTAGAAATATGCGGCCCAATCATATCTCAATGCTTCGCATCAACGGCGTACTAAAGTTACTCCATGCTGTTATCGGTAATAAGTCCACAACTAGAGAAACAAGGAATAATAGCATCGGTATTTGGAATGAGATTGTTCTGACCTGTCATTTATTAACGATTCGCACCGTTGGCTAACTGAAGTCAGCAATAGCCTACTTTTGTACCGGTACCGACTTCCCGCGAATCACTTTCAGCTCGCTCGAGATATAATGAGATTACTGGAGATAAAAAGTTGAAAATATATGATTTCCCTTTTTTCGTAAACAAAATTATTATCAAATTCCGCCTTTTTGTGATATAATTGTCCGTACCGGTACTGTATCGATATCCCACTATCGGCCTGCAACCTAACTCGAGATATTAGAAAGCGGGAAATAGCCACAGCGACATATACGGTAACACACCCAATTGCCTCAGTGTCGGCGTACTAATTTAATTTTGCTAGACCCTGTTTTTATGCCGGTACTGTCCCGACTTCCCCACCAATATTAATCAATGGGTCTAAACTTTAAACCAGAGGTGGCCAAGGTTTCCGGACTGGGGGCCAAAAATTTTGCCCATCTAGACTGACGGGCCATTCATGTAGAATGTAGATGTAAAACTCAGCTTGATCGCAATCCCAACAAATTTCATGCGATATTTTTTGATAAAACAGCAAAATTAGTTTTTTTTTTATCAAGATAGGATACTAAAGATTCAAAATTAGCTAAATCCTATTTCGGTACCATTAGACTCGTGTTTTTCAACCGGGTTGCCGCGGCACACCGGTGTGCCGTAAAATAATGTTAGGGGTGCCGTGGGAAATTCTCCAAATTGTGTGTCTATGCGGTGTAGCGCAGAATGTGGCAGCAGTAGGTGGCGATTTGCCTTTTTTTCCTTGTTTTATTTGATTACTATTCAAGATGTCCAATCCAACATCTTTCTTCAAAGTTAAAAAAGCTTATATTAACAATATAACACTAAAATAAATTGTGAATATTAGGTCTTTTCCCCACATTTTAAGCTGGGGGTGTGCCGCGGGATTTTCTCAGTGAAAAAAGTGTGCCTTGGCTCGAAAAAGGTTGAAAAACACTGCATTGAACTACGACAAGAGGCTTCCTTAATCCTTACTATTCTGAATCGAAGAACTTGAGCGATTGCGACAATCCTTACCAACTGGCAGCCCAATGAGCTCTCTATCGACAAGGCTATTCAAAGAATGACTGTTGCCATATATTCATGCCAATGATTGGTTGACGAAAGAAATATATTTATTGTCCTCGGTGACCTGCAAACGTCTTGCATACTGACCAACACGATTCAATGTTTAAATATTCACTGCACTGTATTTCTATAAAAATCTGAACTATTGTTCTTTTTTAACATTGTTTTGTGGAAATAAATCTTTCTCTCTCTCCATTTTGCCACAAATGACGCAAAACTAAACTATGAAACTTGTTGGACACGTAGTGGACATAGCGATCGTTTCAATATTATGTTGTTATTGTTATTTATCTCCGTCATTTTTGAAAAAAAAACCTTTTTCTTCGAATACTGGACCAATTGCTTTGAAATTTTCAGTGGTTCAAGATAAAATTTTTCCCCAGGAGGCTATTACTTTTTTTTTCGTTATGACTTCATTAAAACTATTACCATTGGGTGGCGCTACGTGTCCATATATTTGAGCATAGCTCTCTTGTTTTATATTACAGGGACAACGAACTATGCAATTACACAAACCCCACCAACGGAGAGCCATGGTTTTGTATCAAGCCACCATCAAGAGAATGCAATCCTATATCATCTCAGCAAAAGATTCATTTGAAGGGAACAGACATGAAAAAAGGAGAAATTCCATTGAATTTCATGAAAAAATATTATAAAGAAACCAATCAATATGGAGCTGAAATATCTCTATCAGGAATAAAATTCAAAGTTTTGAAAAAAATTAAGAAAAAGAAAATTAATTTTTTATCAAAAGAAAATTGTTACGATACATTCAAGAACACTATGAAACAAGTCGATCCACTTATTTCTGGATGGTTACAAAATAAAAACTGGCATTCAATGCGGTGTGAAAACATGCCCATTGAACTAGAGGCCTTGTTCAAATGTCTGGAAGGATGCGATGTTTATTTCTTTGGAGATTCAGTCATACGTAAATGGTATATTTGCTTCAAAAAACATCAGTTTAAAGAGTATCTTGGAATTAAGAATAGTTGGTCTATATCAAGAGATGCGATATCAGAGCATTTCAACGTTTCACTGCATTATAGGTAAGTAGTGTAGAGCAGGGGTGGGAAAGGCTTTTGAACCAGGGGCCAATACTGGCGGCGGTAATATATTTGTGATTTATTTTATCGTTACGCAAGTTATTAATCTAACGCCGAATCACATCTCTTATTACAGGAGTCACGGACCTCCACTTCACAGCGATGGACCGCCAACTGCAAGACCTTACATTTCTGACTCTTTAGATGCGATATCGGAAAAAGAGAAATCTGTGGTCATTATTTCTCTCGGAGCACATTATTTTTCCACAAGTGCCGACATATTTTTAGAACGAATACTTGTTATTAAAAAAGCAATACGGCGATTGCTTGCTAGATCCCCGAAATCTAGAGTTTTTATGAAAGGTATTCACACAATTGGAGGTGTTTCGACCCGATGGCTATTTTACCGCATGGAACAAATTTTAAAACATGAATTTCAGAATGAAAAAGACGTTACCCTTTTAGACGTGTGGGAACTGTCTGTTTTAATGAACAATACAAATATTCATCCGCACGACGACGTACTATTTCAGCAGATAGGGTTGTTTCAGTCATATTTGTGCAGATAAGTTTTTTTTTCCCCGACCCTTGAAACCAATAATAAAATTCCCCATTACTATACCATTGCAACCTTTTTCATGCATATTTTGAGTATGTTTTTTTTTTTTTTGATTTGGAGCTTACAATCTAGATTACATGTGTTATGAACACCGTCTCGATCCAAAATATCCTCCTCTTTCAAAAGTACTGAGAGCTCAGAAGTAAACTCATTTCCGAGCAAAGATACGAGTGACCACTGGAGAGATACTAAAACTATATAGATTTATGGTGTTGCGTTAGATGTTTATTTGTCATTTTCATTTATTTGTTATTTCATTCATTTATTTGTTATTTCCTTTATTTTAATAATTTATTGCGCTTATTTGTTTAAGATCCACGTAAAATCGCTTTAGTTGCAACACACAAGCCATTGATTCCCCTACACCCCTAAAAATGTCTCCTATTTTGCAGGTGTGACACCATGGCTTTAATGTGTTTGAATATTCAGAAAGTGGCTCATATGTCGGCGAAGATGATCAAGTCAAATATATAAGACATTTTTTTAAGTTGCAAATAGTTTTATCACTGATATCAAAATATCTGCCTCCCTCTAAATTTGGAAATTCCCCCACCTAAAATAAAATGCTGGGGAACATACTGACACAAACTCATGGTAAATTCCCACCGCCAATATAAGAGTGCGTGTTATGACATCAGCAATCCCACAGACAGCAGCCTCCCTTCACCCTAAAGTAAGTTCACCGCCTCCTAAAGTTCACCGCCTCCCTTCACCCTAAAGTACCATATTTCCTATTTCTTGTATTGTGTATTCACATTGTGTGCTTTAGAATGGTGAAAAAATAAATTACTGATTACTGACAAACAGATTTCGTGTTAGCACTAATAGCCTTCGTTAAATTTATCAGAATATTAGAGCATTAACGCTTAGCAACGTGCTCTGTCTCACTCGATGATCAATTACGTTGACAACAGACATAGCGTTGTAAAGCCACATCGTTTCCGCTATAATGGTTGTTCAATTGAAATTTTTGACAATTTACGGTTAGACTGCTATTTGTATATGAGCTTGCTAGCTATTTCGCGTTTTCTGAGAATAGAAACAGAAATGGTTCCTGAGAGGCGAGATTTGCTGGTGGTGCGAAATTCAGAGTGTTTTTCATTTTATTTTAAGTTTCGAAATATTAGGTTTACCCGTTATTCATCGAAGATATATAATATAAAAAGGGTCCACAAAGTCCCGGAAAAATTTAAAATTGCATAGTTAATTTATCGATACATATATTGTTTGTTAGCTCCTACATCACTCCTGTGCCCTCACACATGGATGAAATGAAGTAAAAACACTTAGACAATTACTGATTGGAAAACAACAAATCTAGTTAAGATATATTGAGTACTGACTTTATAACAAAATTGAAATTGTAAAGGGACTTTATGGACACCCTGTATATTCATCCTTTTTTTTTCCAGAATTGTAGTACGGAGTATAAATCGGAACAATAATCGTAAAATGTTGGTAATTACTTTAGACGTGCCTTTGTGTAACGAAGGCTGTAAGTTCATACTTTGTAAAAATCGTAATAAACAAAAAAAAGATTGTATTTAAAAACACTGTGTGGATCGTACGAGTAACGAAGCCAAATAGACGGATTAAAATTGGGGAAAAGCCCCTTTATTGTCGTATAGCTAACTAACATGTCATTTCACGGTGATCCTGAAGTATGCGCACCAAGATGTCGCATAACCCGAACCCTAACACGGTACATAACCTGAGTTCAGGTTGTGCGCCATCATGATGCGCATACTTCAGGAGGTCCCATTTCACAGACTAGATAGATTGCGAGTATCAGTTGAAAGTACGTAGCAAGCTATGAAAATAGTGTTTTTCGTACGTTTTTCCTTCACCTTTGCATCGAAAAAGTGTCTGGTCAATTGGTCGGTTGTGCGATATATTTTTGGACGAGCTGGTATGATAAGATTTATTATCATCCAATCTGTATTAAATTTACAGTTTTTTACCAAGTGTACGTCAATCATTTGATGGCACGCATATGGTTAGACGGCAATCGAATGAATAAAAGAGTGAATACAGGATGTCCATGAAGTCATTTAAACCCGATATGTGCTATCCAATTTATAACACCCTTGATAAGGTGGGGGCTTAATTAGAGGGGGGATTTAAATCCAATATGAGTACCCGTTAGTCAGGTAAAGTTAGTCAGGCCTAACGCCGTAACCACTAATCCCAGGAATTGAACATATTTGCACACATGTTGATTTATCACATAGATTTGACAGTTGCCGGAATTCATGTTTAACCGCTTGACCATCGCGTTCAAGAATTGAGCGATTAGAATCAAACATATAGAAGCTAGGTTGATTTATCACACATGACAAGATTTGACAGTTGGCAAAATTTATGACCAAAATATTTCCCCCTTGTATTTTAAGATTTTCTGCGTATCGGAATATTTTTAGAAATTCTGACAATAGCTTATTTGGTATATTCGTGACGATGCCCCCAGGCGTCCGTACTATTGTTATAAATTCAAACAAAGGTTTTATATGAAACTGCTGGTTTTTAGGTACAAATGTACAGCAGGCAACCATGTTGTTTTTCAGTCAGTTTTGCTCAAAGCAAGTCAATGTACATGTAGATTGCATAGCTAATCAGAAATGAGTGAAAATTTGAGAGGAGATATATTAATTTTCAGTAAATTTAGAAGTTCGCATTATGGGATGTAAGGTACTTTTGCTTAAACAGTGGTTCTCAAACTTTTCAAGCCGGGCCCAAGTTTCGCGCTCCATTTTATAAATAATTAGCTAACAATAAGCTATAAATAACACATAGTATAGCGAAAGTATGTTTTTTTTTTCAAAAACACGTTGAAAATACGTAGATGGAATCGTAATCTCTAAATCTAAACAATAAAGAAATGTAAATATCCAAAATATGGCGGGCCAGATCAAATCTAACAAATATTTTTCATTTTTTCGCGCCCACACAAAATTTTCCACGAAAATCGGGGGGAGTTCGCCCCACCTTCTGAGAACCACTGACTTAAAACAAATTTCTGTAGGAATGTACAGAATAGCTAACTAATCAAAGAAAAGGTGGAATTTTAGGTCGATTTTTTATAGTTAATTGCAGAGGAGTTTGTATTATGCAGTAAGCAAGTGTTTTCTTTGTGAGTTTCCCATCGCTTTGCCTCAGAACAAGTCTATGAAGAGGTAGTTTTAGCTGGTAAGCAGTAAGCCGGTCATATTTCAGTCAAGCTCATGATTCAACCATTGTTAAAATTATTTGTATAACTCTCTTGCCAGTATGACTTTTCGTGCTGCAATTTTCAGCTTGTTGGTCGCGTTATTCAGGCATATAGTTATAATAGTCATGGCGACAATGTCTTTCATATTTACATCGGCTGGAATCCTTCCAAACAATAATAGTTTCTTACATAGCGTGAGATGCTTGTGGCTGGTTGTACAGGGCGTAGTTCAGAGCGAACGACGTGAATAAGCGTCGCAGAAAATACATATTATATCAATAGCTGATTTCAGACACAGATGTCCAGGAATGAGATTTTTCGTATGTTCTGGGTTGAAATAACGTGAGACTCCCGGGAAATGTTTGGAGCAGTGGTTCTCAAACGGGGGGCGCAGTTAATTTTTTGAGGGGCGGTAAGCTAATTTAACATAAAAACATTTGTTGGATTTGATCTTGTCCGCCTTATTTTGGATATTACATTTCTTTATTTCGGATATTTACGTTTCATCCACGTATTTTTTTTTTTAATGAAACAGACTTTCGCCTTACTATCTGTTATTTGTAGCTCATTGTTAGCTAGTTATTTTTGAGGAGGGGCGTGATATTTAACAAATTCTAAAAAGGGGACGCGGCTTAAAAAGTTTGAGAACCACTGCTTTAGAGTAAGCACGGGAGGTCAAGCTTTCTGCGTGGTTCGTATGTATTTTGTGGTGTGGCCCATCGGCATGTTTATAATTTAAAACCGATAAGCTTTTGTTGTTGTTAATTCTTGTAAGACTTTTCGTGTGAGATACTTGTGGTGATTTGTGTCCTAAAATCTAGAAATGAATTAAACAGTCACGCCATTTGACCTTGCTGACGTATACTGTTCGTCATTTAGTATCGGTATGTTTATAATTTAAAACCGCTAAGCTTTTGTGTTTAATTTTTGTGAGACTTTTTTGTGTGAGATACTTGTGGTGATTTGTGTCCTAAATTCTAGAAATGAATTAAACAGTCACGTCATTTGACCCTGCTGACGTATACTGTTCGTCCTATAATAGCGTGGTGTTTTGTGATTTGAAAGTCATTCTTTGGTTTGTGCTGCTTTAAGACTATTAGTTGGCGTCTAACAACTACCGCCGCCGTTTGGTATTACCGAACTAGATCAAGCAAGGTTCGCACGAAACCAACATTTATTTCATAATGATATTACTAATAGTGGCTGGTTCTACAGCGCCTTGATCAATGCAAAAGACATAAGTAAGCGTCATATAAAACAAGAGATCTATGCTCAAATACCGTGTATCCCCGAAAATAAAACCTAGCTTGAATTTTAAAAATGATTTTAAATGATGAATTCATCTTAAACGTGTGAGAGAATAAACGACTGAATGACGAAAATAAGTGACACCCCCTCCCCAAAATAAGCCCTTGTGTTATTTTTCGAAACCAAAAATTGAAATAAGACCTGTCCTATTTCCCGGGAAACACGGTCTATGCTATGGACATGTAAAACTAATAAATAGCCTTCTGGCGAAAACTACAATTTTAAACACTGAAAATTTCAAAACAATTGGTCCAGTAGTTAAAGAGAAGAGCGATTTTTTCATAACGACATGAAGGAAAATACCAAGAAGAAAAATAACAACATAATAACAAAACGACCCACAGGTCTATTTCGTGTCCAATAAGTATGAAAAATGCTATTTTCTGTTGCGGCCCAACAGTATAATACTCATATATAATGTAAAACCACTTGTGTTGTAGTGTTAACTACTTGTTTTCCGTGTTTTAACTTCGGATTTAAAGACAAAGCTTATAAGTCTAACAGGTACC